TTTATTCCTCAAAACATTATGTAGAATATTGCGATGAGCCTGAAGTAAAATTACTATGTGAATTTGATATTGACTTATCTGATACTCATTTAGATCAAGATAAATTGCTGTCTGTTAATTTATGTTTTGGAAAAATGGAAATAATTGCAACTGTAAAGAATGAGACTAATGGAAATATTTGTCGTTATACATCTAAATTAGAGTTTTAAATATTTATACTTTTAATTAATAATGTAATAGCGATTATAATCGCTATTCAATTTATTGGACAATTTATTATCAATATACAAACCACTTTTTTTTTTTTTTGATTTAATGAGCTGATTTGAAATTAACTATACTAGCTTTAGAGCCGTCATTATACGACAGGCTACGAGGTAAGGAATAGACATCGTATTCAAAAACGTTATACGAATATTGTAGGAGCCATTATGTTGCAGAGGCTCTCAAGACTAAATATAAAATTGTTATACCTGTATTACCGCTTTCAAATTATCGTGACCAGCAAATTAACAAATTTTCATTTGCGAACCGAAAATTTTAAAAAATGCAAAAATCTATGATTGGCTAAAGAATTCTACTAGTCTAATAAACTTAATTTTTATTCTATTAATTACTTAAGTGTCTTAGGCCTTTGAGAGAACATATTTCAATAACGGACTGGTCAATTTAAATGCTTAAGACTATTTTAGAATCCTATAATCTGTAGTATTCGAAAATAAATTTTATTCCTTCTTATGAATCAACTATAATGTCGTAAAAAAAAAAAGTTACAGTTTTAAAATTTTAATTAAAGATTTTTTAAATAATTCATATAAACTTTCAACCAAAAAATAAATTTTATAATAAATTAACTTATGTAAATAAAATTCTCAGAAAAAAATTATTAGTACACGAGGTGAATCGATTTTTAAAATTCTATAATCTATCGATTTTGCCGATCTATGCATAAAATCTGTACTATCAATTTTTACTTTAAGTAGCTGCACGACGTGGTCGCGCCAAACCAGGAACGGATGTAATAGATTTTAGACAAAGTTTAGTACTAATTACCATGTCGAAATCAATTACACGATGAATTTTGAGGCTTGAGATCTGTTGTATGTAGCCTATTATTGTAAAGTAACAGAACTATTGTGAGACCCGAATACCGTGTTCGATCACGTGAAAAATGCACGGAATACGTGAAGTGCAGTTAAGATCGAAAATGGTATTGCGGATGCGTAGGGGCAGATAGGAAGCAAAGGAGGGATGAATATATAAAGTAAATATCCTTAACAATGTTAAGGAAGCTAAATGTATATGATTTTATATAGTTTATTCAATATTAAATGTAAAGTCGCATTTATCAGTGATGAAATTAAGTAATATAAATAAAGGCTGAAATGGCCCACAAAGAGATCATGCTTCGTTTGCTTTATTAAAAAATAATAAGCCCAATACTCTACATAACCCATAATATTACCCATAACTATTAAGCTAGAAGCGGCTATAGTATAGCAAAATTGTACAAGAAAATATTTTTGTTAGAGCTAAAAAGTAGATTTATTAGTCTAAATTTTGAGCTAAACACAATTTTTTAAAGTGAATGTCTGTTTTAAATTTTTTGATATTACATCGGATTCTGATTTATAATTGGCTAATTGATTTTAAAAAATTATGTAAACAGAAAATTGATTTTATGCTCTGATATAGTTAAGCCTTTTCAGTTGTTATTAAAATAAAGCCATGTTGTGTTCTAGTTTATATACTAGAAGATCTGTATTCATGATTAGACGCAATTTTGAATAACCAAAGAGCAAAGATATTTATATAGCATATTGTTCAAATACTATAATAAGAATAGGATTCAAAAGAATAGTCTTTTAGAGTTGAGATAAACAAAAAATTATAAATATTGTAAAAATTGAATATAAAGTATAGTATTTTGAGATGATTATAAGCAACTTCTTTAGCTTTGTTGTTAAATATATTATTCTGTTATGCTTTTATTTTATAAAAAGTAATTATTTGGTTGTAGAATTTAATAAAATTAAGAAGTGTATTCTATATAAAATATTTAAATAACTAAATCTAGTTGATTGTTGAATTAAGTTGTTATATTTGGATATTACTAGTGCTCCAAAAGGGGTCAAAAAACCCGGGTACTCGACTCCAGAGCATAAAACCCAAAAATTCATCACATGACCCGATCACCGGTAATCAATAGTAAAAGTATAATATGCATGAAAAGTATGTCAGAATCAGCGATAGTTAAATATC